TATAAATATATATATAGAGAGAGAGAGAGAGAGCACCCTCACTATTTTAAGAAGCACTATCAGTGATTTGATCTGGAGCCGGACCTTTACTGTCCCATAAGACCACCGGAGCAGATTTATGAATGACTTTTAAAGCAGCACTATGTAACTTTTGTCGCTCTAGCGGTTAATAAACAGAACTGCACACATCCCGCGGAAGAACATTCCAACCTGAGCTACTTCTCTAAGTTTATGTCTCTGGCGATTCACGCAGGTATGTGTTACTCCGCAGCGGTGACGACCCGACCAGGCTACAATAGTCCAAATATAAGTACTTATTATAAGTGTACCGTAGTGATTCGGAATAAGACAAAAACGCGGTTTGGAAGATGAATTCATGATGTACTCGCTCATTATATACATTTTGCAAATTTTGAACACAGAAAAAGTTACATAAGTGCTGCTTTAAAGGGGAGTAGAGGCCCAATTTGAGAAGTCTTCAAAAGTAATATAGAGTTGGTCCACAATTATATTCGACATCGATATCTGACTTTAAATGTGTTGATCGCTTCTCAGCCACGCTGTGTCTGGTGGATTTGGCCGGTAGTGAGAGAGTGCAGAAGAGTCAGTCTCAAGGAGATCGATTCAAGGAAATGACCGCCATCAACTCTTCCCTCACCAACCTGGGAATTGTGATCGCCGCTTTGGCCAACAAGGTACGTTTTTAGCTAACTATATAGAAGCAATGCAGAGTAATTGGAGAATGTAATGCTCTCATCCTCATACTTGATTTTCATAACCAAAACTGTAGTCTTCTAGACCTCTTGGTACATTGTGCATTATAAGTAGTAAGCCATAGATGTTGTTTTCATATAAAAGATATTACTTACTGTGCAATAATAACTTCACACACTCATTTTCCTTCTCGACCTCTACAGGACAGCTTTGTTCCCTACCGTAACTCAAAGCTCACGTACCTCCTCCAGAACTGCCTCGGAGGCAACAGCAAAACGTAAGTATAATGCTCAAGTACGTGTTTGTTTTATAGCCTGCGACATTATTTCCTTTTGGAGGTTTGCAGAATATAATTTATAATATACTTTATTTTAAAGGAATATGTGACTTATTTCTTGTCCTGTTCAGTTTGATGTTTGTGAATATATCGCCTGAGGAAGAGAGCTTCAGTGAGTCGCTGAATTCTCTGCGCTTCGCCAGCAAGGTGAGTGATCTCATGCGATCACATGGCAGGTTTTTTTTAACATGGTATCTTTAACACGGTCTATAACTCTCGTTTACTGTGTTTCAGGTGAACGACTGTGTCATCGGAACAGCCTCTGCTAATCGGAAGTAGTTCAGCTGTCATTTCCCAACATCCTCTGTGGTCATTTTTAAATGTTTTTAACTTTTATCTGAACTTCACTTATTTCATCTTTAGCCTCATCTCTCCTGTCTTTGGCATTTTTTATATTTCTATGATGCATTTTTAAGGTTCAATATTACTGGCAGACAATTTTTTATTAATGTTTTATAGCCACAAAATGCATATTGTACTTAAACTTGTAAGGGGATCAATAAATTTTCCATTTTGGCATGTAATGCAGTGATGAGCCTCATTATGATGCCAAGTGGACAAAGTTTGGACCGTTTTGTTCTTGTGGATATAGTTTATAGTTATGAAAATGCAAATGAGATTTGTTTCTCTTACAAATAAATGATCCTGGTAATTATAGTTTGTAAAAAATACTTTAATAAAATTAAGATAACTTCAACTTTGGCACTGTTGTCATAAGAAATAAAATTTCACGAATTCTGAAAGCTTCTTTCAATGTTTAAAAGATATCCCATGTTAATTATACACATAATATAATTAATAATTTAATAATAATAATTTATGCATTTAGCAGATGCTTTTATCCAAAGTGACTTACAGTGCATTCAGACTACTTTTTTTTTTACCAGTATGTATTGTAATTAAAGTTATAATCCTGTGTTACAGTAAATGTTAGCATTAAACAAGTCCTATAAGAGACCAAATATATATAGATATATAAAATATTAATCTTTGGGCCATAATTTTAACCATTGATTTTTATTTTTGAAAATATTCCATAATTTTTGGTTGTAATTTTTTTTTACCTTTAAATCTTAAAATTAGAAAAGGAATATATATATATATATTAAAACCCATCAGAATAAAATAAGGAAACTTAAAGGCACAATGTGTAATTTTCGCCGCTAGAGGGCGCGTAATCAAAAGAAACAAAGGTGTAGTTTGATGACTCCGTGACTGAGTGTGGAATCATGGGAGTTGACTCGGGCAGAAATCATGTTCATAGATGAGCTAATGATTTATTAACATAGTAGAATAAAGCCCGGGTGGGGCTGAAAGCCTTCGAAGCGAAACGAGGCCGCTGAACGAGCGTGACACACGGCTCGAAAGCAGCGGAGCTTTTATTATGCCACAGTCGACTGCTTCCGCTTCTTCCGGTCGTGCGTATGTGGGGTAAAGCAGTGCTGTTTTATCATACTAGATACATTTGAAAGTTCTGTTATAATGCTACTCTGTGCGGTCGTCACCTGTCTAATAAAACGCATAACATATTAAAGCGTCTTTGGTGTTTCCATGTTTTCTACAAAACAAAACCGGAAATCGAGGGGTTATGACGTCATTGGCAGATGACACTATGGACACGGTCCGTGTCACTAGTTAAAATTGCTTATTTCTCTGGATTTAAACATTTGGGATAATGTAAGTACACAAGTCAGCAAAATATATAACACTGTTCTAGTGGTTTTTGGATATTTTAATAAAAAAAATCTTACATGTTGTGCCTTTAAGGCACTTCTGGGTAAAATTGTTGTAGATGAATTATAGCTACTGCCTTATAAACTGCTCGACTGCTGAAGTACATTTCATTACACCAAATACACAAAATAATGTTCTTTTTAGCACCCCTTTAATGTTCTGGTTATTTTGTTTCAGTGTACAGTTTGTTAATTTTGTGCAAAGCATACAGTCAAAGTAAACTTCATCATTCAGCTGAACTGTGCACATTTATTTTAGACACTTCATGTCATGTTCAATTCATGCGATAAACGCATGTCCCTGTTGAGCTGTGGGCTATGACTAATTTCAGGGGCAAAGCAGACAAAATTAATTAAATTTTTTTTTTTTTTTTTTACAAATAAAGCTTCATATTATGAGAAGGATACTTTCTACGACCTTTATCCTTCAGTCATGGTGAGATTGTAGATTCCTTCAATCTAAAAATCTTTTTATTTTTATTTATTTTTTTATTTTTTCATTTAAATGTTTAGTTTTGAAATGTTGTTGTATGCATTTGTCATTTTTATTTAATTTATTTTATTTTATTAAATGTGTATATATATATAGTATTTATAGAGTTTTAGCTTTTAGTTTTAATTACTTTTTCTTATTTGTAAGAAATAAGCTTTGTATAAAAGCGTCTGCTAAATGACTAAAAGTAAAGTAAAAGTAAAAAAAACAAGAATCGAAAACAACAGTGAGGAATCGGTTCTCCTCGAGAATCGGAATCGGACTCGATTCCAAAAATTTCGGAATCGAACTCAGCCCTACTGAAGTATTGAACTGTTTTAGTAAGATGGTACATGGTTACGGTTTCTATGGTTTCTGTTACTCGAAAACAGCACTTGTTGCCATGACAATAAGGAACAGGATCCAGCGTCCGCTTCCCTTTTTCGTCGGCCGAGTCTAGAGCAGCTGTCTGGGATTTCATTAAAGGTAAAACCAGACTCCAAACCCGATGTCAGTCCACCATTACGCTCGGCATTCCCGAACGGTGGGAAACGTCGATTTATCATAATGGAAATCCCTCTTTTGAGCGCCTGACGGAGATATTTAAATCGGTAAGATATCTTGCTCGATAAAAAGAGTCTGATTTATGAGGCGATTAGCTTCCGTGATTCTTAAGGCCACAGGGGCTGGTTTCGCAGCTGCTGGCTAACGTAAACAAACCCCGTTTCTGACCCGAACGCTTTTAAACGGGGCTCTGAGTTTATCAATAGCAGGCGGATTTCATAGTAATCCACGCCGAGAGCGAGTGTTTATCAAACACCAATGCAACTTTCACGGATAGCGAAATATTCTTAATCTGAGGCATTATTATTACAGGATCAGAGGAAACTATATTCATGATATTTGTCATTATTACAATTCGGAAAGGCTACTTAACACGCCAATAAAGTGAATAAATAAAGTGTGCATGCAGCGCCTGGTCAATGCACCTTGTTCTTTGGACCTGCAATACCATTTGCTGGGTTCAAAGAGAAATAAAGCATATTTGATCGAAATTAGTAGTTATGTCAGAGGAAAATCAAAACATATTACATATAATATTTTTAGCAGCCGTTTGTTTACGTACGTATGAACTTGATGTTTATGTACCATACATTTTTAAATATATAGCGTATCATTATTATATATCCTCCTTTGAACCAGAAATAAAAAGTTTTGTGAATTTAGTAATTTTTCATGTCATTACATTGTTTAGAGCATAAGAAAAAAAATGGTAAAATAACATTTTATTCGTAAGTTATGCTATGTCCTCTGTAGAGGACACCAGGACTCAGTTTTTCTAAAAATAAAATGACAAGAGTAGACATGAAAAGGCAAAAACAATGGGAATTTTTTTAAAATCACCAATCAATTTTTAGGTTTCAGGATTTTTTTATAACTAACTTTGTTTAAGGATGGTTCTCAACTATGTTATAAAATATATAACAAAATGATTTGATATACCATTTTGCTTTATGCAATATGTGTGTAAAAATTCCATAAACTGGTTTTCCCATTAAGCACAATGTTATCTATACACTGTATCTAATTTGCATATTAAAGTGCTGTTGGGACAGCATGTTGAAAAAAGAAGTGTAATAATGGGAGTAGTAATTGGCCAGATTTTCATAATAATATCTAATATTTCATAAGAATATTGATATATAATTTGTTTTCCTATTCAATTCTTTTGTCTCCCAAAATGTATAATAAACATGCTTTTAGTCCTGGTGTCCTCTACAGTGGACATGTATGAAATGATGTCCTGTTTCGTAACAGAAGGTCATATTTTGATTTGAAACCCCATAACATTTTCCTGAGATGTTGATTTATGACAAACAATTTGAAAATTAATCAGATTTAAATTATAATTACAAAATATTATCATATTGTCATAAGGCTGTACAATTTTATCACTAAATTAATGTCAGCCATTTTTAAAAACCAAGGAGAGGGAGTGGTCATGGTGAAACATCCAATCATTTGGTATCTCTGGAAAGCCCTGAATGTGCTCTGTACAGGACATCCAGACTTAAAACTGTGACATGTGAGGTCTCAGAGAAATTCACTAAAATATAATGTCCACTACAGAGGCAAAAACTCCATAGCTGGGTCTCAGGAGGATATATACAACAGTGACTGGAAGTCATTCATTTTCTAAATAAATTTAAATTCTATGCATAGAATGCGGTGTGAGTCCAGAATGTTCGGGAGTCAGTTTGATTATTTAATGCGGTTGTCACTCTGGTTTATAAGTGAACTGTGTGTGAATGTAACTATTCAGCTATTTAAAACAGGACCACAGTGCGTCCAAATCGCGTACTTATGCACTATTGTATAAATAGTGCGAGTAGTGTGTTCACACTGAAAAAAAACAAAAATAAAGTGCACTTTAAATACCCTGATGATGCACTTAACATCATCTTAAGTGGAAGATGGCACTTAACATGTGGAATCTTGGACACTTCATGCACTCAACTGTCGTAGAGGATGGGCTCTTAGACTCCAATTATTAATGACAAAATAATCTTATATAATTCATACACTACATCAGGGGTGCCCACACTCGGTCCTGGAGGGCCGGTGTCCTGCAGAGTTTAGCTCCAACCCTAATCAAACCCACCTGAAGCAGCTAATCAAGCTCTTACTAGGCATACTAGAAACTTCCAAGCAGGTGTGTTGAGGCAAGCTGGAGCTAAACTCTGCAGGACACCGGCCCTCCAGGACCGAGTTTGGGCACCCCTGCGCACATAGTTCATAAGTACATGTATAAGTGTATAGTGCGTCATTTGGGACGCAGCTATAGTCTTCTGCTGTGTGAATGTAGCCTGTGTAATGTAAAGTTGTGTCCCAAATTACGCACTATGCACTTATTCTATGCACAGTGTACTCAACCGTCTTGTGTATGAATAATATAAGGTTATTTTTTATCCAACAAAGGAGTCTGATAGCTCCTCCTCTTCAAGTACGTAATTAAAGCTGCTTCATGAAGTGTCCAACATTCCACACTTTGTTTTTTCCATTAATTAAGCACATCATCTGGGCATTTGAAGTGCACGTTTTCTTTTTGGAACTAAGTGTGACCACACAAATCACATTATTTATACTACTAAACAGCATAGAATGGTGCATAAGTACGCAAATTGGGACACACAGTAAATTTGCGTTAAATTAGCTGTTTTGTGATGCTCACCTCTTGCAGGAATGCAGTCGGCCACGGCGGGCCAAGGCTATGGTGACTCCGCGGGTTCAGCCACTGGTTCAGAGGTGCAGGTGTGCTTCCCCAGTGTGCAGGCCTCAGTGCTGGACAGCCTGAATCGGCAGCGTGAAGAAGGCCATCTCTGCGACCTCTCCATCCACGTTCAGGGCCAGGTGTTCAAGGCCCATCGGTGTGTGCTGGCTGCATCGTCACCTTACTTCCATGACCAGGTACGTCTTTACCTTGAGGCCTAGATGCTTTAAAAGATTTCTTGAAACATGTATTGAAGTTCATTCCAATTCTGCATGGCCACACCCCCTTGGTTACTGTTGCTAGGTCTGACAAGCGATCTCCAACTAGGGAATTCCTACTTTAGTTGCTGACAAACACTGAAAGAGAAGGAATCAAATTGAGTGAATTACCGCAGGAGTTATTTAAATAATATCTGTATTGTCCATACATTCATGTTTATGTTAGAGCTAACATAACATTTGAATCACATTAATTATATGATATTCTGATTAATAAAATTCCTTGCATACGTGAGTATTTACTATTTACCTAAAAATCAAGATCATTCAAATTATCTTTGAACACAAGAACGTGTGTTGCATGGATTATACAGTATCTGGAAGATATAAAACAATATGTGTAATGAAATATATAATAAGCTAGTATTTAAATCAAATTAATTACATGAAATTCTGATTAATAAAAGGAATTGCATATGTAAGTATTTACTGAGAAAAGCCTAAAAATAAAAATAATTCAAATGATCTTTTAACACAAGAATGTGTTTTATGGACCATATATGGAAGAAATAAATAAAACCATAAAAATGTGTAATAAAAAAGATATTAATAAAATATTATATGAAAAATAAGTGTTTTAGTGTAAATGACATACAATTTTTTATTTTTAATAATGTTTTAAATCATCTTCTAATATTTAGTTTTTAATTTTAAAGTTTTAGTAAATAGTAATTGCTATTATTTTAGTAATTTAGTAATCATTTTTAATTAATTTTTATTTCAGTTTCACTTATTTTATGTAGCTCAACTATACAAAAATGAGATGTTGCCTTGGCAACTTGCTGCAATAAATTATGTTTTTTAATATTTTATTTCAGTAAATGTATATAGTAAATGTCTATTTTATTTCAAATAAATGTTATTATGATTTTAGTTCTAGTTTATAGTTAACAATAAAAACCCATATCTATCTATCTATCTATCTATCTATCTATCTATCTATCTATCTATCTATCTGTCTCTGTCTGTCTGTCTGTCTATATTATGAGTGTTATGTGCAATATTAGATCATTGCAAAATCTTGTTAGACAATATGTTGACAACAACAGTTGCCAAGTTCTGTAATATTTCACAGACAAAATATTTTTCACAATCTGTATTATTAAGTAATTTTAAAAAAAGCATAATAGTTTCTATCAAATTCATCTGTGCAGTGTTTATTAGCCATATCACAGTCTTTATTTCTGCATTCCAGGTACTGCTGAAGAACATGTCCACTGTCTCCATCCCAGCCGTCATGGACCCACTGGCCTTTGAGAGCGTCCTCAGTTGCGCGTACACCGGCCAGCTGCGAATGCTTCGCGAAGACATCGTTAACTACCTCACCGTTGGCAGTGTACTTCAAATGTGGCACATTGTGGACAAATGCACTGAGCTCCTCAAAGAGGGCAGGGGAGGTTCCAGTGGACCTCAGGGATCCAGAGACAAGGAGAGCGCAGGGCAGAGCGGCGGCGCCAACAAGGTCGTCCAAGAGGACGGAGGAGACGCACCTTCGACTCCTCAACCTCCCAGCCGACCTTCCTTCAGCGAGAGCCAGTCCCCGAGCAGCACCAATTACTTCAGTCCTAGAGATGCAAACTTTGGCGGGGCGATGGTGACCACTGGAGCAGTAGGAGAGGGTGCCGTACACTCCACCCCAACCTACTGCATGCCCTCCAGCGGAGAGGAAGGTTTCATGATTGAAGAAGATGAAGAAGATGACGACGAGCTCTTGTTTCACAGGAAGAGAGATCAAGGAGGCAAGCAGAAGTGCGCAACCTCTGCATCCGGTCAGGAGGTTGGGGTGAGCGACAGTTTTGGAGTTTCGTCATATCAAGATGGAGATTCCTCACCACCGCAGAAGCGGCCGTCGTACAGTCAGCCGAGCATCATGCCAAGAAAACAGTGGGTGGTGGTAAAGACGGAGCACTCGAGAGAAGACGATCTGATCGTGGTGTCTGGAGGAGAGGAGGGAGGAGAGGATGAAGAGGAACGAGAGCTGGAGATGGTCAGAGTGAGGGACAGGACATTTAACATATCAAATGTTAGGACCCTCTCTGGACTCAGAGAAGATGCTGAAATGGAGGCACAGGTCAGCAGTTTTGCATCAACTTAACTTTCTTTTTTTAGGGCTGAAAATTTAAGGGGGTCTGAATACTTTCCGTACCCACTGTATGATCAGTATATTTGATACAATTTTACCTGTGATATAAAATGAATAATTATTTTAGATGTTGCAATTAATTTAATATGCTTTTATTTTTCCAATTAAAGGGTTAGATCACCCAAAAATGAAAATTCTGTCATTAATTACTCACTCTCATGTCATTCTAAACCCGTAAGACCTTCGTTCATCTTCGTAACACAAATTAAGATATTTTTGATGAATTCTGAGAGCTCTCTGACCCTCCCATAGACAGCAATGTAATTACCACGATCAAGGTCCAGAAACGTTTTCTGGACCTTGATCGTGGTAATTACATTGCTGTCTATGGGAGGGTCAGAGAGCTCTCAGAATTCATCAAAAATATCTTAATTTGTGTTCCGAAGATGAACGGAGATCTTACGGGTTTAGAACGACATGAGAGTGAGTAATTAATGACAGAATTTTCATTTTTGGGTGAACTAACCCTTGTAAGTTTGAACACTACAAAAATTACTGAGTTTTTAATTAGTTATAATTTGAAATGCTTTTCAGTTAAAATACAACTGTACCGGTTGATTTCTTCACTTGTTTTAAACTTGTTTATACTTAAAACAAGTGAAAAAGTCTGCTAGGTCAGTAAGGCCAAATGCACTCACATTGAAGATACAGTATATTCTCAAAAACGTCTTGATATCTCATGCACTGTTGCTTCTCAAGTACTTTTATTTAGTGTCAAGGCTTTTTAGATATTTTAGCCAGAAAATTACTTGTTAAGAATAGCATTTAGTTTTGCAGTGAATTAACTTCTTGCCTTGTGAGATTGGAAGTAATAGGGTACTAAATGGTTGTAAAAAATGCAATTCATAATATATAACAGTTTTTTGTTTAGTCTAAAATATGATTTTCCTAACATAAAAAATACCTTCATTTAATATCAAGATATATGTTTTTATTTTGGCTATATCGCCCAGCCCTGCTTGCAACATTCAATAAAAAAGACCAATACACATGTACAGTGGCCCTAAAAATATTCAGACACCTTTAGACACTTACATCACACATTAAAAAAGTCTGAATTTCATTGCATTAAATTCAAAATATCAAACCAAGTGGCGTCTGCAAACAAAGGACTCTAGAGTTTTTCTCAGAACTAACTACACTTTGTGAGCCACTCCTTACATTATTTTTTAACCAATTGGCCTCAAGGTAATTTCTCATGGATGTATGAAGTCAGTTCATCTTAAGTTCACACATGTGTCCTCCTAACAGAATAACCACTGGTGTAGTTCATCACATTAACAATTAAACATGCTCCACAAGGTTTGACAACCAAAGTTTCTAGGATTCTGTCTTTATGTTAAACAGTCTATATACTGCTTCATATTTTGAAACCAAATACTTCAAAAACGAACCTCATTTTTGAAGTATTCTGATTAAAAATGTGCTTGTGCCATCTATTTAAAAAAATGCCACTTGTTTTGTTATTTTGACATATTATTCAAGCACATGGATTATTTTCAGTTTATAATTGCATTTGTAATTGTGACATATGTGTAAATATTTTTGTATATCAAATATTGTCAAAAATTTTTTAAATATATAGATTTTTTTGGTACAGACTACAGACAATTGAAAGATCATCTCAGCAAATCAGTGACCGAGATTATACCCATAGATAAAACTGGAATATAATATATTATTATAATAGGAGATGCAAAGATAATAAGACGAAGTGTATAAAATAAATTACTACTTAAAAAAAAAAAAAAAAAGGCATACTTGTGAGGTGCACCAACAACAACTTAAAGTGCCCCTATTATGCAATTTTTACGGTTCCTAATATTGTTTTGGGAGTCTCCTACGATAGGATTACATGCATGCAAGGTCAAAAAACGCTTTCATTTTCTCAAAATATGCATTTAATTATCACCTCATTTTCCAACGATTCGTTCGAAGCAGTTCAAAGATTCAGTTTCTCTAAACCCCTCCTTTCCGTGAGCCTGCTCTGCTCTGATTGGTCAGATGGCCCAGTCTGTTGTGATTGGTCTATGGCGTACAGCGCGTGTCGGAAACGATACGCCTATTTCAATAGTTCTGTATTTTGAAGGCTCTATAGAAAATATAAACATCTATTATTTATCGTACTTACAGGTTGTGATTCAGTGGAGCAGCTGGTCCAAATAAACAGGATACTGATCCATCTTTCAACAGCAAGCGTTTTGTGAATCCCGCGTTGAACCCCCCGACATTAGAGAAGCAGTCGTCTGTAGAATGATGTGTTTGTGGGCGGGGTCAAGTTGTTTGTGGCCGGCCAACGTAGAACATAGGAGCGCATTATGCAAATGTGTTACCCCCGTGACGTGTAGCCGTCACGGAAGTGGGATTCGAATTACTAATGACTCGTTTCAGCTGTTCAGAGTCGATTCTTTATTTTGGGAGACAATAACTTTATTTATCGTGCACTTTCAGCTTTACAACTTTGCAGATCGTTTACATTCACAGCTACATTACACACTGCATGAAAGGCAATATTGGAAATGGCATAATAGGGGCACTTTAACATCCTCAATTACTCAAATGTCTTTTTTCCAATAGGCTGACTATTGCCAGTCCTCGGAAGACTACCTCAAGTTTGAGAGGGGTTTGACCGACCAGACGTCCTCTCAACACCCTCCTGAGAATCCCGCTCAATGCTCCAGTAGGGCCGTGACCACCCTGCTCGGCTCGGTTCAGTCGACGGCCGCCAGAGCTCAGCTCTTCCCTCTGAACATGCAGGGAAACCAGATTCTCCTGTATAATCAAGCTGCCCTAGAGTCAACATCTCCATTAGGGCTCGCAGGAGGCATGTCCGGGGTGTCTCTAAAAGGGAGCCTCGAACACGGAGCGGTACATTTACCTGGCCAAAGTGCATTGGGTAGCGGGATGGAAGGATTAGACGGCAGCGCGGCTGGCAATTCAGGCAAGGTCTTCATGTGTCATTGTGGGAAGACGTTCACACACAAGAGCATGCGGGACCGGCACATCAACATGCACCTGGACCTGCGGCCCTTCCACTGCCCCGTCTGCGCCAAGAAGTTCAAGATGAAGCATCACCTCACCGAGCACATGAAGACCCACACCGGTCTGAAACCCTATGACTGCCACGGCTGTGGGAAGAAGTTCATGTGGCGCGACAGCTTCATGAGGCATCGCTCGCATTGCGAGAGATGCGGCAGGGCCAATGGAAGATTGGGATCCGAAGGATCGGTCATCTCTCTGCCACATCACATGAAGCTCCCGTCAGCCAACGAGAACAATCAAGGTAGCGTTGGCGCCAGAAGCGGGATCCCCGTTTTGTCTCCGCAACATTCCATGAGCAGCAATGGCGTCTCTTGTCTCAATATGGCCGCCTCTGGGCCTCTTCTAGGAATCAGTTCTCAAAGCGGGCCGCATGGCCTTGGTTCTGGCGTTCTGGGCATTGGTGGCAATCGTAGCGGGTGTGTGGAAGAAGTCTGTGAGGGAAACATTGATGAAAGCAGCGTCACATAAGAAATTTGCCTCTGAGATCACCGTCCCGCAAAACCAGAACACTTGTCTTCGATTTTAAAGGACTATGTGCACAGTTGTCTGATTCTTTACCTCATGTTGGTGAGTGCGCCATACACGATGTCCCATTTGTATTTGAAAATAATACCAATGACCAAATGCCCATTGCTAGCTCACGTCGATGGTGACTGTCAAAACCGTATCCCGGCCAGGAATATGGATTAGTTGCCATCACGTTCAAGCTGCCTCACTAGCACAGAAGATTCCTTCACTGTTGCTCTGAAGTGCCATTCTGTTATTATGCTGTACGATATTATGTTCTACAGAGTTGTGCATTACTGTAACTCATTTGGTCCATTCTTGATGTGAAGTTTTATTGTACTGTCACCCAACTATATACAGTATATTCACTCTCAAAGGTTTTAATGTTTTAATTTCTTAAATAGGAGACAAGAATATAACTTGCTCTGCACTTTGGTGTCTTAAGGCCCATTCACACCAATAACAATAACTATATCGATAACTATAATGGCTCATTCGTAAAAATGGTGATAATCATAAAGGCTTGTTTGCAAAAAGGGACAATAACTATAACGATAACTATAAAGGTCTGTTCACAGCACAACGGACAATAACTATAACGATAACTCTAACGGCTCGTTTGCAAAAAGGACAATAACTATAAAGGCTTAATTCACAAAAAAGGATAACTACAACGATAACTATAAAGGTACGTTCACACAAAGGACAGTGACTATAACAATAACTATAAAAGCTTGTTCACAAAAAAGGACGATAACTATAAAGTTAACTATAAAAGATCATTGCAAAAAGGATGATAACTATAACGACTTAATAATGATAAAGGCCTGTTCACACAAAGGACAATAAAAGCCCCGTTCACACCAAGAACGATAACTATAAAGATAACGATATTAGCATCCACACCAGCGGACGATATCATCTGATTATTCTAAGTGCACACTCGTCTGTCGCTTTAAATTCTCGAGCTCGTGATAACAGGATTGATTCTGATTGGCGGTCAATATTTTTATCGTTCATCAGCTGGAAAAAATCGTTCTGAAAATGTTCCAACGATATCGTTTCTCTGTGCCTTTATCATTATAGCTGTGGTGTGGACTCTTCTATTCTTTAATATTGAGAACGATTTTTAGAACTATATCTTTATCGTTATTTTTATAGTTATCGTGCTTGGTGTGAACAGGCCTTAACTGTAAAAATAACTATAAAGTTTTAATAATCGTTCTAATTCTAAGTAAATAGCAAAGTCTGCATCACAACTATAATGATAGTGACTCGAGGAACAATATAATTCAAATGACTTTCGGAACTTGTTTTCAGCTGATGAATCCCACTTTAAAGAGCTCAAGCATTTAAAGTGGTAGGCGACATAACTGCAGTGCACTTATAATAAAAAGAACATTATCGTGCTTTGGTGTGGACAGTAATATAGTAATCTTTATAGTTAGCGTTCTTGGTGTGAACAGGCCTTAAAACTTTAATAATCATTCTAATTCTATGAGAATAGAGAAGTCCACATCACATCTATAACGATAACAGCACAGAGGAACGTTTTTCTTCTAGCTGATGAACAATAAAAACGTTGACAGCCAATCAGAATCCATTCAACTTTAAAGAGCTTGAGCATTTAAAGTGGCAGACGACAAAAAAATTAATAAAAATAGTTATCATTCTTGGTGTGAACAGGCCTTTACTCGTTGAAAGGCAGGGAAGTGCAGGGGTTTGTAGGTAGTTGGATCACTGAATGAATCAACTCACAGTGCATTTTGGCTTTACAGTATGTCCTTTTACCCATAAAACCACCATAAACATTGAGGGCGACGCATCCTCCTCAATACTGGTCAACAGTCAAGCACCTAACATCCAACTGCTGAACTCCTGCGGCGTTTCAGATGTAGCTTATAGCGTACCAGTAGTGAGAGTTTACATGTTTGCCTTCCATGAAGGCCGAGACCTGATTTGTGAATGGATGAAAAGCTTGAATGAAGTAGGCAAATGACACACCAAATTAGCGTGAACGTCTGCAACTGCCAAGAACGTTTAAGACATGACTCAATGGAACCTGATTGGGATCGATCAAGACTTGTGTTTTAATCACCTGAGTGGATGTTTGGATACGTAAATGCAGTGATCAGTAGTTGCCTTGTACCACACAAACCATATACCTCAAACATTTGCACAACTATTCAATATATTACAATAAATAAACCGGGATCTGAAGATTGGGAGCTGAATCACATATCCACACATTCTTATTACTTTAAAATCAAACCTGTGTGGTGTGTATTTCAGATTAGTGAGCACAGACAAAGTGTGAACAATGAAGTAGAGAACATTTGAAACATAATTTAAAAATAACCAGTAGGTAAAAGCATGATTCAGTGCTCGCTTGAGGAGTAATCTGGTTAGAGCTCTGTATTTTGTACTGGTAAATAAAAAGTATTTGTTCTGTCTACAACTGTTGTGGTGAATCTGAACTAAATATGCGATGGGCGATAAAAGACAAAGCATTTTCCTGACGTGGACAAAAAGGTTTCACAAGATTCAAGATCTGCAAATGAAAGAGAAATAAAGTACCTTGTGCACAAATTATGACTCATTCTTGTCTTATTCATGTTTGCAAGTTCAAACTGAGGAGTTGAATGTTTTACTTTTTATCGTCGTTTTGAATATTTCTGTTTAGCCTGATTGTTTTAAACTTTGGAAGAATGTTGGAGTACTTGACTTTTATTGGATTGACAAAATAAATTCTTGAAACGATCTTCTTTTGTGTTCTGCAGAATAGCCATGAAGTCATACAGGTTTAGAACAACCTAAATGACATTAACAATCACAGAATTTTTTTATTTTTGAGTGAAACATCTCTGCGTAAAAAATAAAAATCAATTATTATTATAAAATAAGGTGCTATTTATCCACCAGACTGGTGCAACAAAAAATTAATGGCCTTGGAACAATAAAACTTCACATTCAAAGCAAGTTTTGCACATATAATACAAACCTGGTTATTAATATAAATGCTTATTACAACAAATTTAATATGGTTACCATTCGTTTGATGTACCTTGTCCATTTTCATGCCAGTTAAATCCTCAATTAGTTAAGCAGAGTAATTAAAAACCATTTTAAATGACAATGTGAGGAGTTGAATGTTTTACTTTTTATCGTCGTTTTGAATATTTCTGTTTAGCCTGATTGTTTTAAAGTGATAGTTCACTCAAAAACTGAAATTCTGCCATTATCTGCCGACTCTCACATTGCCCCAGACCTTTATGACTTACTTTCTTCAGTGGAACACAAAAAAAGATATTTGGAAGAATGTTGGATTACTTGACTTTTATTGGATTGACAAAATAAATTCTTGAAATTATCTTCTTTTGTGTTCTGCAGAATAGCCATGAAGTCATACAGGTTTAGAACAACCTAAATGACATTAACAATCACAGAATTTTTTTATTTTTGAGTGAAACATCTCTGCGTAAAAAATAAAAATCAATTATTATTATAAAATAAGGTGCTATTTATCCACCAGACTGGTGCAACAAAAAATTAATGGCCTTGGAACAATAAAACTTCACATTCAAAGCAAGTTTTGCACATATAATACAAACCTGGTTATTAATATAAATGCTTATTACAACCAATTTAATATGGTTACCATTCGTTTGATGTACCTGGTCCATTTTCATGCCAGTTAAATCCTCAATTAGTTAAGCAGAGTAATTAAAAACCATTTTAAATGACAATGTTGATCAATTTAATAGATCAATCATCAGCAGTTTACAGAAATCATCTTAATACCAAACGTCAAGTGTGTAAGAGGACACATAACTCTTGTGCTTTGTCACCTGAGGCCAGTTGAAGGGACAGGTCACCCAAAAATAAAAATTCAGTCTATATTTTATGTCCTTGTGAATCCATATACTGATATTTTTCTGTATTCCACAAAAAAAAAGTAAAAGTCTGAATTTTTATTTTTAGTGTGAACTACTTCTTTAATATGTAATCTGAACAACACTTCCAACATTTGTAAATTGGAGCATGTCAAGTAGCTCATAACTTGTGGGAAATTATTTCTAGAGCTGCTTAAAAAAATCCACAGTGCACTGTACAGAGTTGTCAACATTTAAGTCAAACACTAGACAAAATGAGCGCATTTGAGTTGAGGAAGTCATACAGGTTTAGAACAACCTAAATGACATTAACAATCACATACTTTTTTATTTTTGAGTGAAATATCTCTGCGTAAAAAATAAAAATAAATTATTATTATAAAATAAGGTGCTATTTATCCACCAGACTGATGGAATAAAAAATTAATGGCCTTAGAACAATAAAATTTCACATTCAAAGCCAGTTTTGCACATATAATACAAACCTGGTTATTAATATAAATGCTTATTACAACCAATTTAATATGGTTACCATTCGTTTGATGTACCTGGTCCATTTTCATGCCAGTTAAATCCTCAATTAGTTAAGCAGAGTAATTAAAAACCATTTTAAATGACAATATTGATCAATTTAATAGATCAATCATCAGCAGTTTACAGAAATCATCATGTCAAGTAGCTCATAACTTGTGGAAAATTATTTCTAGAGCTGCTTAAAAAAATCCACAGTGCACTGTACAAAGTTATCAACATTTAAGTCAAACACTAGACAAAATGAGTGCATTTGAGTTGAGTTGAGGAGAGAAAGCTCACTTCCCGTCATGACTCCAAGCACAAATGAGGATTGCATCCAAACCCTCAAACTAAAACCATAAATATAATACAAGATAAACCCTTGTAGTAAGAATGTTTAGAGGCAAGACCCATTTACAATTTACCAAAATACCTCTAAAAAGCCTGAATGAATAACGGCATGCCATTTTTCCTTGTATAAAAAGTAAACAGTGGCATTGCGTCTCAGTGGCGGAAGTTCAAAACCTGATTGAACCAGTCCAAAATAAAAAAATAGTTTTTTTTTGTTCTCTGTTCACATTGGCAGGCACTATTGGAGCAGGATGAGAACTCAATCTGAATCAGACAGAACGATCACTTCCTCTGGGTCACACTGAGTCGCCACGTTCACCTGTGAACACACGAATGACAGGAGTTACAGCTTTAATCGGCCTATAACGCTGTATGTAATGCTCAGTCGCAGTCTTACTGTAAACTAAAACTATTAAAAAAAACATATTGAAATCAAATAGAAAAAAACGTTGTTATACTTTCGGTGGTGCAAAGCCAGTTATTTCTGAAAATAACTATTAAAATGAAACAACAACTAATAAAACCAACAAAATGACTAATCTTTAAACTAAAATGAAAATTATAAAAATAAAAACTATTATTAATAAATACTACAATACTGTAGTCATGATACTAAAATAACACTGCAGTCATTTTATTAAGATGCTTGAGAAAATTGTAATAGAATACAGTTATGCTAAAATGTTTTTTAGTATTAATAAATATAATTATTTTGCATATTTAATTTATTATCTAATATTTATATAGAAACACAACAAACTGATGCCCGGCGTTTCTGAAAAAATTTGTTTTGAAAAAACAAATAAATAAAGCTGATGTAAACCAATGAAACTTGTTCCCTAAAGAGTGAATTACAGCAATATTCTTCTAGTTTCTTTTAGGTTTTAGGACAAAAACAATAATATACTTTTTTCTGACTGTCTCTCTTGTTTTTCTTTATTTCCTCTACCTCCATCATTTCAGTAAATATTTTAGTAAGTTGCCAAGCCAACATTTCTCATTTTTGTTTAAAGTTGAAGTACTAAAACAAAAACTGAAAATTACTATATTTACCAAATACACATATTTAAAAAAATATTTAAAATTCCTACAACTTAAACTAAAATTAAAATAAATAAATAAAAATAAAAATTAGTTCAAAATATTTATAAATAATATAGTACTACATTAATGAAAATGAAAACACTGCAGTGAATTTATTGCGATGACGGAGAAAGTTGCAATGGAATACAGTCATGCTCAAATATTCCTGAGCTCTTAAAATCAGCCTTTTTGCTACAGGAATGGTGTAATAATAACATGAAAAAGCAATTCAGCAGAGATTCAGATGCTTTTACTGCACTGTTTCAATGCTAAAACCAAACGGACACAGTCACCTTATTTTTCTTAGGAGGTGGTGTGGCTCGTGCGTTTCTGACCATCGTCCTGGTCAAGTCTACTTCCCCAGGGCAGCAGATCACACCCATATCCAGAGGAATATCACTGAGATAGAGAGAATGAGAAAAACAGCACTGCATAAAGAAAGCTCTCACACTCGTGTCGGTCCAAACCCGAATGGATTTCTTCCTCCAGAAGAACACAAAAGGAGAAAATCAGTATTCATCAATCAGCAGCCATAGATCTTCTTGACATGTTCACGAGACTGAAATCTTGGCAGTGGATGATTCACAAACAAATCATTCTTTAAAGTTGGTTCTTTTGAATGAAATCAGATGATCTGGTTCACAAAAACAGTCTGAATGAGTTCAAGTTCAACGGCTCACTAGTGACTGACTAGTGGTAAATCAAAAATAATTAAAATGTTTAGTAAAAACCCATGGAAAACCATCTTTGATTTTATATA